AAAGTGAAGCAGATGTACAGATTTTAATGAACAGGTGCATATAAAGCTGCAGTCATACCAAGCAATGCTGTCACAATCACTCAATTATGCACCGATTAAAATTTGCCTTCGTGATCACCTGGCCGTATATCGGAAGGAAAACCGAGCATAGTGGATTAGTGTCCAAATAATGAGCATTAGCATCAGTTACATGGAAGCATGTGAAGGAAGAAGTGAATGAAAATGCAGTCATCTGTCAGTATTGCAGAGCAGAACTTAAATATCACCACACCACGGCTGCAAAGCAACAGCATCACAAAAGAAAACATCCACAGACCCACCTAATAATACAAGGTTAGCCATAAGACCTACGTTTGTCATCACTTTGACTTAAATTATTTAACTTAACATACTTTCTACAATTCCTGTATCACTGCCGCTGGAGTTTGCATTTTCTCCACGAGTGTCCTTGGGTTTACGACAGAAACATGCGACTTAAGTGAACTGCAGTGCCCACATTGACTGTATGTGAGTGAATGAGCGTGCACTCTGCTGCTCTCTGCCCTGTGGCAATAGCTACATATAAAGGATTCCCCGTCAGTTTTTTTTTGGAAAATTACCTGAATATTAATAGAATCTACAGTGACAGCCATAATAGACAGTGACAGCTTCCTACACCTCAAATAAGAAAAGGAAGAAATTCTAGGAATTTTCAGTGACAGCAAAGAAAAAGACTTTCTACCTTGCTTGAAAATCTTATCTTTGAAAGCCAAAGACCATGTCAAAAATCTAGGTGTCACTTTCACTACTCTTTAAGAACCATATCAGTTGTGTCTTCAAGATTACACACCCACTGTGTTCAAAAACATAGCTGTTTACTCCTGTAATTATACTGTATCTTATAGTGCAATAAAAATCATACTTCTAGCTTCCAGACCAGAAGTGAAAGTGCAAACTTTCTTCAATCCAATCAGGAAACTAAAACCTGTGCCACCTCAACTTAGTATCTCTTCAGTATTTGGTGCCTGGACAGACAACAGGGAAATGTACAAGATGAGCAGAGTGATTTTATTTCTCATCTATAAAAACAATGATATACTGCATTACATATTATTCTTTTATTGTTCTATTAATATTCATTAATCAGTATTAATATTCTTTAATATTATTATTCTTTAATGGGATATCCTGAAAGATTTTGAAAGATATATTGTGTTTTCAGTTTTAAAAACATTTTCAGACTCACCTCGTTCGGCAGGAGTCACAGTCACAACAGGGCTGACTGCCTGAACGCTGCGTGGGATGTCTGGACTTTTGCCAATGCTCTTCTCTGCCTCCTTCAAGTCTGTGAGCGTCACACCCTGCAACCCATCCAACGCATACAACTCAGTTGTCTGACATTGCTAGCAGCTTTGCTTTTCAGTCCCATGCTCCTGGCCGCGTGAAGCTCTTGCTTATTTTGGGTTTCAGTGAAACACGGCACAGTATGGTTAATGGATTCACTTTATATTTAAAGAAGACCTGCTATACAACAACTTAAGGTGGCAAAGACCTGGGTGGAGCGTCTTGACTGCCGCAGGAGTCTGGACCGTGCTTTCCTCTGTGACTCTGACTCCTCGTCTCTCGTAGAGGTCTGAAATCTGTAGACGGGAAAACTATGCATCAGTAGGGTATTCAACCAAATATAGGCATGTTGGGATCACAGTACAGGCAGTGATGGCTCAGAGAAACTCCGCAATTGGCTATCCTGTCCGCAATGATATCTGTTGGTAGCCTGACTTGTTCCCGTCAGTGAGCCCTTGGACAGCTATCTGGTAGCCTGACTTGTTCCCGTCAGTGAGCCCTTGGACAGCTATCTGGTAGCCTGACTTGTTCCCGTCAGTGAGCCCTTGGACAGCTATCTGGT